ACCATTTTTCTCAAAAACAAACCTTTCGCCAAAACCAAGAAGGATCAGAACCGCAGAAATGCTCTCCTTGGCACCCTCCAAGTCAACTGAGGGGGATAAACAAAAAAAATGGGTATTTGCTTATAAAAGTACTAAGTCCTTATTCCCCGTAGGATGCTTGAGAAATATGTAAAATGGCATTCAGGATTAGTACAGACTTCAAAGCATTTATCCTCTTTAGGCAGCAAAGCTCTGAGCTGCGTAGACAGTTATACTCCAGGGACCTCTCAGAGCTTTTTTAAATATTAGTTTGAGAGGTGGGGCACAGGATAAAAAAAAGTCAGATACCGCCTATCATTAAGCCCATGTACACGTACTATATGCAAAAGGGAAGAGCACTTTTAAAGTTCCCCTGGAGCCCCTCACTTTAACAAGCTGTTTGAATTCTCTGCAGTTCAAAAGCTTGGAAACACTGAAACTAATTACAACTATTACATTGATCAAAAGAAAAAAAAGACAGTCGTACCCTATAAAAAATTCAAGTGTCAGCTCACTTGTATGAAATACCCTTTTGGTATTTCCATGAAAAGAACTTGCATAGACATCGTGAAAAACAAAGGATGGTCTTCAAAGTTTCCCTTCTTTTACTCTGTTCCCCATATAATTATAAGCTCTAATGAATGTGAACTACCCAAAAAAACAGATGCAGGATTCAGAGGAAAAGCTTGTTAGAAATGCAAAGGGAGAACGTGAGGTCAGGCTGCAAGTCATCACTTCTCATAACAAGAGCTAGCATTCTCCCAGGTAATGTCCCCCAAAACAGCCCCTTCCATGGAGAAGAGACCAATGGCATTGAGAACACTCAACATTTCAGAGAAATGGGAAAAATACCTGGCAACCATGGCAGGGCTTAAAGAGCAGCCACAAAAAGGCATCAGCTCCAGGTAGAGACACAACTGTGGTTTATATCCCTCTAGTAAAGTGAAACTATGGCAAGGACTCTCATTTTTCTTAGTTTGCCTCAGCCAAATAATTTCTCTCTTCTGTAGCACAGAAAAGAAGAAACTATGCTAATTTTTCTCCTTTAGGGCATGTTCAATGTAAGACCTTTCTATTAGTGATCTAATATACCACTAAGAGACATTACCATCAAGTCTGGCCACAGGCACGGCACCATGCTGCATGCTATGACTTGGGCAATCTCTTCACAAAAAGGAGTAGTCACCCTTTTTTTTGAAGTGTAAAATACTGCTCTCAAGTGAAAATCACATGGAGGTTTTAATCATGTTACTAGTAGAGAACCAAACTATTTTGATAAAAATGACACTAAAGTTCTCGGATGCATTGCCCGAGGAGGAATACTTTTCTGCAGAAGCCATAAAGCAGATGGTTATAAATGAGACTTATTTCATGGGCACCATTTAATGACTGCAAATTCCTTTAACTAAAATTCTAATTTTATCAGAGCATAAATCATATGCGTTGAAGGGAAAAATTTGTTTCAGATTTCTCATTCCCTCTGTAAAGCTTCTTCATGAATACCATTTTAAATAGCATTTCATTAATGCAACACAGTTTTATTTGTCAAGGTTCGCTTTTAGCACCTATTTTCCTCTTTTTTAATGTTAGTCAATTTGTTAGTTAATTGAACACAGAACAAAAGGCCCCTCTGTTCTGTATCTGAAGTGCCTAATCATTGTTATGTGGAAATCAATGTAGTATGTTTGCTCCAGGATTGCTTTTCACCAGACACGTAGCTACTAAAAAACCGCATCTCCAAAAGACTAACCAACCCAGTGTCAGCACATGAGAGCGGATATAGTGTCATCAAGTACAATTACTAATCCTACTTGGATTAGGAGGGACAAAAAAAATCAGAAATACAGTTCACTACCCGCTGTCACACGGCTTCGCTCCCCCGTAGCCGCCGCATGTTGCGCATCAAACACCTGCGTGAACCTTATACAATTTAACAACTGTTTTGCACAAAGTCCTTTTCTGCTCTGACAAAAAGGGAACGTCAGTCTTTCAGAAGACAGCATCTAGATGTCCTGCCAAGACATAATAGCCGGTTTGTGTTATAGGCTCCTGATTAATGCTGAATCATGGGCCCACAGACGAGCAGAGCACTTCTGGAATGAAGAATCAGATTTCATTCAGAACAAACACAGGGGGGAACTTCATTGTACAGCATTAAAATAGAACTACACAGGGGGAATACACAATATAGTACAGTGCTTGATAGCCAATGTGCTGCAAACTGATTTACTGACAATCATTAGTGATGGCTCCAAGCAGCAAAACCACTTTCAGGTTGTTTGGTATCAGTGTAAATAAAACCTTTAAACACCTCTGTATAAAAACACATCTACACTTGTCCTGTATACCCACAAAGAACATATTGTGCACTACACAACACAGCAACGCTCACCTCTTCCCGTAAATCCCTGTTGCAGGGAGAGCAGGCGATGTGAGCTTCTGCTCTTCTCCTGCCGAAGCGGGAGGCCCCTCATCTCTTGACTCTGCTGGAAAAGGCGGGGGCACCGCACTGTTTGCAGGGAGCACACAGCACCTTCCTAGCTCAGGCTCCAATTTCCACCAAAATACGGTCAAAGGTTTCCTTTCTCAAACACTGTATTTTACTTCAGTCTCCACTGAATTCACTTTTTTTGCATTCTTCGGTAATGGAAGATTTGGCTTCAACTCTCCTGTGGTTGAACAAACCCAAGTTTGCTGGACAGCCCTATTCGGTGTCTTGGTGTAGGCCCTTCGGGGTGCTGCTTCTGAATGGCTTTAACAAGTGAAGCCCAGGAAACGTAGAAGAACCACCACTACACTAAGAATACGAATTTCTCTGTTAAGATCACTTCAGCTTAGCTTTATTACACCAATGCTAACCAGCAGTTGACCATCTTCGCTTGTTAGAGACACACTCAAGTAAACGGGGCAGATAGGAGGTGGGCAAGGAAGGACCATGTGCATGTTCCTCTTAGATTTCTAACTACAGGCAAAACCAATGCACTGCAGGGCTAATTTCTGATTTGGAAAACAATGGTCTATGAAGCCCAAGAAATTGCTGTACCAAACTGTGGTGACTTGTTTGTCATGTAGAAATCTAATTCCCACACCTCAAGGGCAATCCCTATTAGTAACATCCACCTATTCTCTCCAGCCAAGGAACGAGCAGGCAGAGCAGAACAGTCATGCAGATGCTCTAACTACACAAAATCATTATTGCAGCATGAGCAAGAGGAG